ACTGAGGACGAGCGCGCATGCTTGCCTTGGCTCCGCTTCCCATCGCAGCTTTATAACGGTGACATGAATTTGTGGGCGTGGCCTCCGTTTCTTGGTACATGGGGAGTGACCGGGATTTCTGTCCCGCAGGGAGGAGCACCGGAAACATTCCCCCAAATGCCTCTTCCTGACCCTGAAGAAGTCGTCTGAGGAGATGTCGGTCGGTGAATTCGTCAAGCTGGATATGGAGAGAGCCAAAATAAAAATGGTGAGCGCAGTGATGACCAGAACTTGTCCCTGTCATGGCGGAAGTCACGCCCAGGGCGCTGTCATGTTTTACAATTGGTCAGTTTTGGGGGGATTGGTTCCCTCGTCTTGTACTTGGGGCGCAATGATGTAATCTCCGCACCTTGTAGCTCTCCAGTCACTGCGATCATTCCTGTATGGGAAATAGATTCATCAATACGTCTATTGATCGCTGCTGAATGGAATGATAGTAATCCCGCTGATGGTCACCCCCTCCTCCCCCTGCCCCTCCTCCCTTTTTTTGCCAAAATTTTGGATGACGCCTCCATAAAATCATTTTGGGGCCACGCAGGGACCCTTCAACAGAGCACGATGTTGCCTTGATGAAGGGTCCCTGCGTGTTTGATGTGCACGCACGGCGCCATCCGTGAGTATCGTTGCCAGCACCATCATTATGGTTCTGGCCGGAGACGCTGTGAGGGGGGCGGGGCATGCTGCTTTTTGGGCTTGAATGGCAACGCAAAACACCTCCCACACCAGAATGCATGGTAGCTGTGATTGCGCGGTACAGTGCGTTATCGCTATGCAGTTAACGCATTGTACATGTGTGTCCGGGCCACTGACATACACACACACACACTCCAAAAACATTTCTTTAAGATCCGGCCCCCCCTCCCTCCCCCGTCTCTCTACCTTACGACAACTGGAGTGGATCCTCAGCCTGGGGTCCGGTGTGGGCTGCTGTGAATGTTCCATTTCTTCTCGTGTGCCGATACTGAGCACTCGTACTCGCCCAAATGTTCCCATGCTTACCCCTGATCCCGGAACTTCCGGTCAGAGGGAGGTTTCCTCTCACAGACAGTGCCGCGAGGGAACATGGAGCCCGCCTTCCCGGCCAATCAGGAAGCCAGACCGTGGGTAATAACACCCCTGCCCCGCTTCCTGATTGCCCTAGAAGCCGGCTCCATGCTACCGGAAGTACCGGAATATAAATATCAGGACTGGTACTCCATCGGAGGAACCAGTATCAGCGCATCCCTAATTTCTTCCTTTAAAGGAGAACTACGGGGTTAATTCTTTTCCCCATAGTTCTCCTTAGGGTAACGGGGGGACACAAACTAGCGTCCTCCCGTCACCCTAAGCTCATTATATAGGGAGCTACAGCTCGCGGTATACTGAGACGCCGGAGCGGATCCCGACAATTATGTCTGGATCCGCCCAGCTGCGTGAGTGACAGCTGGCTCCACCTATCTAGAGGCCGAGCCAGCTGTACCCGCCCCCTCCCCCGTCGTTCCGCCAGTCAGAGCTGGCAGATCAGAGCGGGGAGGGGGGAATCCAGCCCCTCCCCTGTCACGGCAGAGAGCCGTGACAGGATCGAGAGGTGAGCGAGCGCAGATATGTGTTCGCTCACCTCCCGATCTACTGAGCCGACCTGTGACAGTCTCATTGTCACAGGTCGGCTAGAACTATGAGGTGAGTGAAAAGCCCCTCCCCCC